AAAGGATGACCAGCTTTCTCTCTGAGGTGTTGAGTCCAACCCATGGGCGGGCTGAGAAGAGGTGATCGTTTCGAGCGCGTTCCATTCCTGGGGCGCCGCCCGCGGGTTGGGCGCCTGGCGCGACGCGTGTCCAACCCGTGGGCGGATGGGAAATGAAGGGTCAGCGTTCTGTCTGAGGTATTGAGTCCAGACCATGGGCGGGCTGATAAGAAGTGATCGTTTCGAGCGCGCTCCACTCTTGGGGCGCCGCCCACGGGTTGGGCGCTTGGCGCGAAGCGTGTCCAACCCATTGGCGGATAAACCATGGATGGTCCGCGTTCTCTCTGAAGTGTTGAGTCCAACCCATGGGCGGGCCGAGAAGAGGTGATCCTTTCGAGCGCGTTCCAATCCTGGGGCGCCGCCTGCGGCTTGGGCGCTCGGCGCGACGCGCGTCCAAACCGCGGGCGGGTAGACAATGTCATATCAGCGCTACATCCAGACCTGCCACAAAACATTCATTCATCCATGAATTCATTCATTCATTCACTCACTCATTCATTAATTCATTCATGCATTCATTCATTTGTTCATTCATCCATCCACTCATTCAGTCATTCACCCATCCATCCATTCATTCATTCAATGGCCTCATACTCCATTCTTTCCTTTGCTCAATCTCTGACCGCCGCGGCTCGCGTCGCATGTGGGTGGAGAGAGAGAGAGAGAGAGAAAAAGCGAGTGATGTTCCTCCCCCCCGCTCTTCGACTTCCTCAAGATGGCTGGTCCTCAGCCTGCGACATCACTCATTCTCCTTCCTCATTGCCATCCCTGCAGTAAGAAGCAACAACAATGATGCAATAGCAATGGGTACAACAGGAACAGCAACGGAACGCCCCACAACCTATGATGAGGATGCTGTAGATGATGGTATAGATGGCGGCGTCGATGCTGGAGCAAATGTTGACGAACGTGCTGATGTCCGACGTATGGGGGTTCTTATTGAACTCGGCGTGAGAGAGAGAGAGAGAGAGAGAGAAAAATAAAGAGACAAAGAGAGAGAGAGAGAGAGAGAGAGAGAGAACGAACACCCAGTAACACGGTAAGAACAAGAAAAGGGGCAAACAATAACAATAAGAGGGAACCACAACGAACAAAACAGTCGCGGCGCGAGAAAGCAGCGCACGTCACATAGTCTTAAAAGTCACCCCCACCCCCCGGCCTACTCCGATATATATATATATATATATATCCAGAGCTTGCCTCTGTTGGGGTCCTAGCGGATTCATATGCTTAGGTGAACTTTGCCGCCGATTTCTGCGGCCCGCCTGGGTGCCCGGGTGCCCGGCTGTCCAGATGCCCGGGTGCCCAGGTGCCCGGGTGCCTGGGTGCCCAGGTGCCTTATAGCCCTACAGCCCTATAACCTTATAGTCTTATAGTCTTATAACCACATAGCCACATACCCTTATACCCCTATAGCCCTCTAGCCTGAGAGCCCTATAGCTCTATAGCCCTATAGCCCTGTAGCCGTATAGCCCTATAGCCCAATAGCCCAATAGCCAAATAGCCCCATACCCCCATAGCCCTATCGCCCTCTAGAGGCAACTAGCCTTATACCCTTATAGCCCTATAGCCCCAAAGCCCTGTAGCCCTATAGCCCTATAGCCTTATAGCCCTATAGCCCCAAAGCCCCATAGCCCAATAGCCCTATTGCCCAATAGCCCTACAGCCTTAGAGCCCTACAGCTCTATAACCCTATCGCCCTGTAGCCCTATTGCCCTAAAGCCGAATAGCCAAATAGCCAAATAGCCCTATACCCCTATAGCCCAATAACCCTATCGCCCTATAGCCTTTTACCTTATAGCCCTATGGCCCTATAGCCCCATAGCTCTATACGCCAATAGCCCTATAGCCCTACACCCCTATAGCCCTATGGTCCCATAGCCCTATGGCCCCCCAGCCCTGCATACTCATAGTCCTATGGCCCTGTAGCCCTATAGCCCCATAGCCCTATAGCCCTACGGCCCTATAGCCCTATAGCCCTACAGCCCTATGGCCCTATGGACCTATAGCCCTACAGACTTATAGCCCCATTGCCCTCTAGCCCTATAGTTCAATAGCCCTATAGCCCCATAGACAGATCGCCCTATAGGCCTATAACCGTACAATCCATAAACAGACTTTGATTGGGCTTTTCTCCGGTATCATAAAGAGATATATGTGGCCGCGTCCATATATACACATATTTAAAATTTTCCCCACTCAGAGCTTGCTTCTGTAGGGGTCCTTTCGGATTCATATGGTTAGGTGAGGTGTGTCACGGATTTCCGCGGCCCACCCAAATGCCCGGGTGCCATGGTGCCCGGGTGCCCAGGTAACCAGATGCCTCACAACCCTATACCCCTATAAACGTCTAGCCTTATAGCCCTATAGCCCCATAGCCCTACATCCCAATAGCATTATAGACTTATGGCCCAATAGTCCATTAGCCCTAAAGCCTTAGAGCCCTACAACTCTATAGCCCTACAGCCCTGTAGCCCTATAGCCCTATAGCGCTATAGCCCTATAGCCCTGTAGCCCTGTAGCCCTATAGCCCCATAGCCCAATAGCCCTATAGCTCCATAGCCCTACAGCCCTGTAGCCCAATACCCTTATCGCCCTATAGCCCTATAGCTCTACATCCCTATAGCCTTGTAACCTTAGGGCCCTATAGCCCTATTGCCCTATAGCCCCAGAGTACTATATCCCCATAGCCCTATAGCCCTGTGGTCCTATAGCCCTATAGCCCTATCGCCCCATAGCCTCATAGCCCCATACCTTTATAGCCCCATAGCCTCATAGCCCTACAGCCCTACAACCCTATAAACTTATGGCCCTGTAGCCTAGTAGCCCTATAGCCATATAGACCTATAGCCCTATAGTTCCATAGCCCTATAGCCCCATAGCCTCATCGCCCTATGGCCGTATAAGCCTGAAAAACTTTGATTGGGGTTTGTTTCCGGTATTGTCAAGATATATGTGTGGCCACGTCCATTGTGTAGCGTTGCCAACTTGTGGCAATCATACACCCGTGTTGGCGGCCATGTTATGTGACCCCCCTCTCGAGAGCCCTCGGGGGGAGCCCTCGAGAACCCAATCGAGCTGGTGTTGCCCCATGCTGGTCCCGTGACCAAGAGGGGCTGTGACCCCGTGTTGGCCATGACCGCTGCTCCGATACAGAGCCCTTGTGACGCGAACCAAATGGATGGCGCCATATGTAAAGAGAGATAGAGAGAGAGAGACAGAGAGAGAGAGAGAGACAGAGAGAGAAAGAGAGAGAGCGAGAGAGAGAGAGATACAGTTAGAGAAATAAATATATTCACATATACAAATATACATACCAGAGTTAGAAATACATACACATACACACATACATATACACATATGTATACATATAGATATATATACGGACATATGTATAAACATATATTTATATACATATCGATGGATCGATAGACATAATCATACTTATGTATAGTTATATATATATATAGGTCGAGAGAAAAGCAGAGATAAACAACAACATCTGCTGACGGCTTGGCCACAGTGCCCCAGTTCTTCCGAGTTGGATCTTCCAACCACCTTGTGGATTAGAATTGGGAGCGCAGGATGTGTTTCGATCTCCATAGCCCTATATCCCCACAGCCCTGTAGCCCTATGGTCCTCTAGCCTTATAGCCCCATAGCCCTATGGACTCATAGCCCTATGGCCCTCTAGCTTTATAGCCCCATAGTTTTATAGCCCTATAGCCCTACAGCCCTATAGCCCTATAGCCTTATAGCCCTGTAGCCATATAGACCTATAGCCCTATAGTTCCATAGCCCTATGGTTCCATAGCCCCACCGCCCTATGGCCGTATAGGCCTAAAAAGACTTTGATTCGGGTTTGTCTCCGGTATCATAGAGATATCTGTGTGGCCACGTCCATTGTGTAGCGTTGCCAACTTGCGGCAATCATACACCCGAGTTGGCGGTCATGTTATGTGACCCCTCTCGAGAGCCCTCGGGGGAAGCCCTCGAGAACCCAATCGAGCTGGTGTGACCCCGTGCTGGCCCCGTGACCAAGAGGGGCTGTAACCCCGTGTTGGCCATGACCGCTGCTCCGATACAGAGCCCTTGTGACGCGAACCAAATGGATGGCGCCATATGTAAAGGGAGAGAGCGAGAGAGAGAGAGAGAGAGATATAGATAGAGAGAGAGAGAGAAAGAGAGAGAGAGAGAGACTTAGAGGAATACCATTTTTTATGGAGGTATACATTTATATGTATAGATACAAAGTTATATATACATACAACTACATATGTACATTCATATGTGAATACACATATATATATGTATTCACATATATAAACACACACATATATTTGTATATATCGATTGATCGGTATACACATGCATATATTGTATTACCGGTGTTTATTTATTTATTTATTTATTTTAATACATATATATAGATCGACAGAGAAACATAAATAAACAACAGCATCTGCTGACGGCTTGGCCACAATGTCCCTGTTCTCCCGAATCGGATCTTCCAACCACCTTGTGTATTATAATTGGGAACGCATGATGTGCTTCGATCTCACCGCAAATACGTATCCACAACACGGGTCAAATATGCTGGGCAATTGAGCGGCGTGTTGAATCACAGAGGGGGGCCTTCGGCTTTGACAGACCAAGCACAGATGAGTAAACTCCAACCTAAGTAGTTTGGCACCCAGTTGCCCTTGCCATGGGAGTCTTGAGCGCCCTTGGCATGCGAAGATAGGTAACCACCTTTGACTGGATCTGCCGCCATCGTGGCTTGTCTCCCTGATGGTGGGCTCATGGGCAGCCTCAAATTGACGGTCTACGGGCCCGCGCGCCCAGCGAGAGCGTCTTTCCCTCCTTCCCTCCCAAGTGCGCCACTCTTCAACGACGCGTCAGATTGCCCTAGAGCAGCAGCGGCCGCACGTGTGAGTGGGCAAGCCAGGGCGACAGGAGCGCCTGCGTGCTCCAGCCGAAGTCGCATATCTTTACCACCCCCGCCTGTACCGGGCAGGGGGGGGGGGGCGGGGGCAGCGGCCAGGCTGATGCGGGGGCAGCTGTGGCGGCAGGGCAGGGACCCTGGGCCGAATGAGGCAGGGGGATGTCGGGGGAGGGGGAACACAACCAGGGGGGGAGGGTTGAAACAACCAAGGGGGGCACAACCATCAACACAATCACCAATGTATTGACCTTTGAACTTTGACAGCAAGGCTTTTGAGTACCATACGTGCGGCGATACATGGCATGGGCTGAATCACTGATTTTGAACGTATGGTTTGTGAATGGGTCCATGAGTCTGAGGAGGCCAGGCATGCCTGCCTCGTTTTTCGATCTCTCTGTGCAACTAGCACCATGCCAAGCTCATTACATGCCGAATTAGATATGGGAAGCGCATCGTTCCAGCTGCCGCAAGTCTGATGCCAAGTCAATCCAATGCAACGGACGCTGTGGAGCAAACGGCTGGTCGAATACGCATTCTTCGAAGCTTTCCAAGCTGGCCGCGAAGGGGCTGTGGCCTGCCTCGCCCCACGTCAGCTCAATGAGAACGCCTCGCGCTCAGCACGGTCTCTGGAGCCGGGTGGCGCAACCCACGCTCTGGATCGACTCAAAGGCGGGGCAACGAGCAACCAACGCCATATCCTCGGGCTTGTCTCTGGAAGGCTGCCGGACTGCTGGTCGCTGGGTTTGCTCGGAACGGCATGTGCGCGGTCCGAATTATGGCAGAACGCCACCTCCACGAGCGACCCAAAACCTTCTGGTTCAAGATGATCCCAGATTACTCCGAACAACGGCAGATGGGCTCCGAGATTGCGCTGGGCGGTTCAAGTTGGTCACACAGGTCCCAAGACAGCTCAAGGTGGCTACGAAGCCGTCGTGGATGCTCCCAAGAGACACGCATCGTTTAACACCTGTACGTCTTGAGTGAATTTGGAAATGTAGTCTCTTCGCTTCCGATCCCAGCACGGCTCCGAGAGGCCTCCAAGGACCCCGCGTTGGCCATTGTTGTGAGCTGCATGGGCTGCTCCCAGCTTCGGTCTGACTGTTGTTTACCTTCTTGTCTCATTGATACTCCTCCACTTACTCCTCCACTCACATTCTCACGACAACTCGACTGGGAACGTTTTCTGGATGGGTTGGGTGGGGCGGGGGGTCATCCGTGAAGCATTCAGAATACCAGCAGCCCTATGGGCGTGGGGAATTTAGAATACAGGCTCCCCCAACATTATCCAGACGAAGGACCCAACCATATGCAGTGGTGAATACTTCGTTGTGGCCATCGCTTCCAGTGGAGCTCCTTATGGGGCCACGACGAGTGTGAAGGGTGTGCCGAAATGGGTGGGGAACCGCATGCGAACTGCGCCACGGATGCACTCGGTAGAGCTCTTTATGGGGCCACGAAGCGTGTGAGTGGTGTGCAGACATGGGTGGGGAACCACATACGAACTGCGCCACGGATGCGCTCGGTGGGGCTCTCTACGGGGCCACGAAACGTGTGAAGGGTGTGCCGAAATGGGTGGGAAACCGCATGCAAACGGCGCCACGTAGGCACTCGGTGGAGCTCCCTATGGGGCCACGAAACGTGTGAGGGGTGTGCCGAACCAGGCAGGGACTACGCCCATATGCGAAGTGCGCCACAGGGGCCTTAGGTGGAGCTCCCTATGGGGCCACGGAACGTGTGAGGGGTGTGCCGAAACGGGAGTGACGCCCACATGCGAACTGCGCCACGGGGGCCTTTGTTGGAACTCCTTATGGGGCGACGAAACGTGTGAGGGGTGTGCCGAAACGGGCGCGACGCCCATATGCGAAGTGCGCCCCCGATGGAGCTCCCTATGGGGCCACGAAGCGTGTGAGGGGTGCGCAGAAACGGGCGTGACGCCCACATGCGGACTGCGTCACGTAGGCACTCGGTGGAGCTCCCCATTGGGCCACGAAACGTATGAGGGGTGTGCCGAAACAAGCGTGACGCCCACATGCGAACTGCGCCTCGGAGGCACTCGGTTGAGCTCCCATATGGGGCCACACAACGTGTGAGTGGTGTGCCGAAAGGGGGTGACGCCCATATGCGAAGTGCGCCACGGGGGCCTTCGATGGCGATGGGGCCACGAAACGGGTGAGGGGCGTGCCGAAACGGGCGTGACGCCCACATGAGAACTGTGCCTCTGGAGCCGTAGGTGGAGCTCTTTAAGGGGCCACGAAACGTGTGAGTGGTGTGCCGAAACGGGGGTGACGTCGATATGAGAACTGGAGCTCTCTATGGGGCCACGAAACGTGTGAGAGGTGTGCCGAAACGAGGGTGACGCCCATATGGGAACTTTGCCACTGGAGCCTTAGGTGGAACTCTCTATGGAGTCACGAAGCATTGAGGGGTGTGCCGGAACGGGAGTGACGCCCACATGCGAACTGCGCCACAGAGGTACTCGGTGGAGCTCCCCATGGGGCCACGAAACGTGTGAGGTGTGTGTGTGTGTGTGTGTGTGTGTGTGCCGAAACGGGCGTGACGCCCACATGCGAACTGCGCCACGGAGGTTCTCGGTGGAGCTCCCTATTGGGCCACACAACGTGTGAAGGGTGTGCCGAAAGGGGATGACGCCCTCATGCGAAGTAGGCACTCGGTGGAGCTCCCTATGGGGTCACGAAGCGTGTGAGGAGTGCCGAAATCGGCGTGACGCCCACATGCGAACTGCGCCACAAAAGCACTCGGTGGAGCTCCCTGTGGGGCTACGAACCGTGTGAGGGGTGTGCCGAAACGGGCGTGACGTCCAGATGCGAACTGTGCCACTGGGTCCGTTGGTGAGGGATGTGCCCGAGCGGATGTGACGCCCACATGAAAACTTTGCCACCGGGGCCTTAGGTGGAGCTCTTTATGGGGCCACGGCGAGTGTGAGGGGTGTGCCGAAACGGGCGTGACGCCCACATGCGAACTGTGCCACCCAGGCCTTGTGTGGAAATCACTATGAGGCCACACGTTCGTGCGAAACAGGGGTGACGCCCATATGCAAACTGCGGTGACGCCCTCATGCGAAGTAGGCACTCGGTGGAGCTCCCTTTGGGGTCACGAAGCGTGTGAGGAGTGTGCCGAAATAGACGTGACGCCCACATGCGAACTGCGCCAAAGAGGCACTCGGCGTAGCTCCCTGTGGGGCTACGAACCGTGTGAGGGGGGTGCCGAAACGGGAGTGACGCCCACATGCGAACTGCGCCGCTGGGTCCTGAGGAAGAGCTCTCTATGGGGCCACAAAACGTGTGCCAGAACAAATGTGACGCCCACATGAGAACTGTGCCACTAGGGCCTTAGGTGGAACTCTCCATGGGCCACGAAGCGTGTGAGGGGCGTGCCTGAACGGGGGTGACGCCCACATGCGAACTGCGCCACCAAGGCCTTGTGTGGAGGTCACTATGAGGCCACACAACGTGTGAGGGGTGTGCCGAAACAATAGCGACGCCCATATGCGAACTGCGGCATGGGGGCCTTAGGTGGAGCTCCCTATGGGGCTACGAACCGTGTGAAGAATGTGCCGAAACGGGCGCGACGCCCACATGCGAGCTGCGATACGGAGGCACTCGATGGGGCTACGAACCGTGTGAGGGGTGTGCCGAAAGGGGTTGACGCCCACATGCGCAGTGAGCCACTGGGGCCTTAGGTGGAGCTCCTTCTGGGGCCACGAGACGTGTGAGGGGGGTGCCGAAACGGGCGTGACGCCCACATGCGAATTGCGCCACGTAGGCACTCGGTGGAGGTCCCTATGGGCCACGAAGCGTGTGAGGGGTGTGCCACAATGGTTGACATATGCAGGGCCGAGGCAGGGATGGGAGTGGGGAGGAGGCGGGATGAAGGAGGTGGGACGAAGGGCGCTCTCTCTCTCTCTCTCTCTCTCTCTCTCTCTCTCTTCAAAACGAGGATCCAACGGCACAGGATGGTTTGGACGTGAAGCGAAAGGATGAGGACCCAAGACCACACGATGGTTGAGCATAAAACCTACGGGGAAACTGCCCCCCCTCCCACGCCGCACGACTCCCCCACCGCCTAGCCACGCGAATATGGTGGTTCGCGCGTATGCGCACGTGTTTACGCGGCGTCGCTCGCGCAACGACGCGTGCGCATGTGGTTGCGGATAGGATGAGTTGCCGATTTTTCGGCTCCAAGCGATGGATTCGTTTTTGATCTCTGGGCAGAAGGTAGCCTCAACAAGGGCATCCCAAATTGACCAGCTCAGAATCGAATCGGAGCCAGCAACGCTCCCAAAACTAGTCTTTGTGGCCTTTGGGGGATCCTTCAGGGGTCGTCGGGGCCATCTTAGTGCCAACTACGGAAAAGGCTGGCGACAAGATCGCGATTTGGTAGGGCTTAGAACCGTGCGGGCTCGGGGCCGTATTGGGACCGCTTAAGAATCTCTTGGGCCGTCTTAGGAACCACTTGGGGCTCTTTTCGGCAATCTTGGGGCGGTCTTGCGATCTGTGGGGCCGTCTGCGATGTTTTGGAGACTGAGAAAGCGACTTTGCGGAAATCCGCCGATCCGGCGTGTGCACTACAAGGAGCCTCAGCAAGAGCTTCAGCTCTGAGCCTAAGCAAGGGCTTCAGCTCTGCTTGGGGGGGTCGCCGGGGTGGCTCTGCCGGGGAAGGGGGGGAGGGGGGGGGGGCGGTCCCCCATCTGGTGTTTTCTTACTGACTTGCGCATCCCCAGCATGTTTCGGGGGTCCGGGAAAGGGGGGGGTGGGCGGTCCCTCATCTGGCGTTTTCTTCATGATTTGCGCATTCCCAAAATATTTCGGGGGGTCCTAGGGACCCCCTCAGATCTAGCCGCTGCCGCCCCCAAGACCCTCCCCTCGGAACCCTCCCCGGACTCCCCCCGGGACCTCTCCAGGCACCCCCCCAGCGGGAACGAGGACGAGCGAGGACGGAGAGGGGAGCGAGCACTCGACGCAAAGGGATCAGCGGGCAGAGGATAACGAGAACTAGGGAGAAGAAAGAGGACCGAAAGAATCGAGGAGGGAGGAGGCCA